TATATGTCTCATCCCAAAAGGCGGGGGTAAGTTCGTGACCCTTCCTTGCTAGAGAAACATATATCGCATTGAACGGCATGTTGAGATATTGGTTCAATGTCTTGAGAAACTAGTTCATACCAAATTCCCACTGTGATCTGAATAACTGAATCAACATTGGCTATGATCAACACCACTTTTTTGTGTTTTTGGTTGTGATGTGAGGATTGAACCAAATGAATAATATTTTATGCATAAATGATTAAACGCACTGAGCAAATTATTACAATTGTGCATTGTTATCATGAAGAATAAGTTATCTTTTCGTGAATGTGCTTGTTAGAAGTTTGGGAATCATGCGAAATTTTTATTATATATTATTTTAAATTAGCATATTTCTGGACGAAATTCGAACGTCCAGTCTTAACTCATGAAACGGTCGTCGGTTTTCGACTGCTGCAACTGTGTGGCTGCCGTGACTAGGGTTGCTGCTGAGGCTTGTTGCTGACTGCTGAGACCAATTGTCTGAAATAACAGAGAACTCAGAAGAAGTGCAGAATTTTGTGGGGAAAATTCGACGAGAATTATCAGCGAAATAACTATGAGTAGTAATAATGCGAAAATTATAAGTGCTTCAATGGAATACGTCTGAAAATGTCAAGAAATAGCAAAAATTTTCACGTTAGGCACCACTTACCCTAGCATTGAGCACATTGAAAAGCATTTGTATTTGCCCATCGAAAAATGCTGGGATTTTAGAGTATGGCGGAGGAGGCATCGTGAAACTCGCGTTGCTATCGTTGATTGCATCCACTTTCTGAAATCAGAACATTAATTAAACTCAATCAGAAATCATTCGAAGAGCGATGGGAATTTGACGAAACTTGATTGGATAAAGTGCTCCTCAGATGAGATATTCTTAAATTTTAGTGATCTCATCGCTGCTTGATCAATTTGCGCTGTGAATAAAATTTCGAATGAACCAATCGTACAAGCAATATGACCGAATATGAGCGCATTCATTACATTCAGGTAATCGTTTGCATCCGACGGTCGTTTGGCAAGATGACGAACTCTGGCTTGGAGGCCAGCAGATCGCAGACCTGCCGATCCACGCTTTTCACGTATCCTGAAATTAAACTGGTTCCTCTTGGTCAACTTTATCTGGAACTGTTTGTTCTGTTTGACAGTCCTTTTAAACGTACATGCTACCCTTTCTCTTTATCAACTAAAAACAGGAGGTTATTTTGAGATCATTAGAGGAAAAACCATAGACAGCTGTTAGCTTTGGTTCGAATTTTGAAAATTTCGATGAAAAGATCCGCAATTCCTGACAGACAGATGAAATTAACACCATTTCTATAACCAACACATCATCCTTCATCCCATCCCACTCAAATACACTGTTGTATCCGAGCGCTAATAATGATCAACAGATAAATTTATACTACTGAAATAACACGAGTTTGCATCGTTATGAAGAAAATCGCTCTCAAAATGTTTCGGATAGTTCTAAATTCCCTACTGCAAATGAAAATTCGGATAGTTCTAATCANTCAGATATTTCTCCCGCAATTTTCACATTTTGATCGCAACTGTATCAAAGTACTCATATTGTTCAAATAAATGACTTGAAATTTCTTGACTACTCCATTTGTTGACATCGAAAACTTTATTGTAGTGACAATCGCTGAGAAATTCGCATTTCGAGCTCATTTTGAAACTTCATATGAAGAGAACGACTTCTTGTTCAGCACCTTTTCAGCACAGGTGATCCATCGGAAATGGCTGGCTGCTGTTGTTGATAAATCATTCCACTACCATTTACACAATTCATATTGGTGAATGTGGCCGCAGCTGAGAGTTGATTCAAAAGAGTGGCCGAAGCGACAGGATTTTGTTGTTGGGGTTGTTGTGCAATCGACTGAGGTTGTAGATTTGATGGTGCTGCTTGAAAAAACGCTGTAGCTGCTTGAGCAGGCGGTAACTGAGCGCAGTTGCCAGTTGGGGCAACTGGTAAAATTGGTATTTGCATGGGCATTGATACGGGTATAGATACCGAAATTGGTAACGAGACAGGAATTGAGGGAGTTTGAAATTGCTGCTGTTGTTGTTGTTGTTGCTGTTGATCACTGGACTCATCAGAAGACGGTTCAGCAGGATTAGTAGGATTCTGAGCTTCGGCTTGATTTTGTTGAAGATGCAGCTGAGATTGCTGAGCCAATGGCTGAGGCGGCTGAAGTTGGGTTTGCGGTTCCGCTACCATTGTAGGTAGCGTAGCTCCATATGGGATGCAACCGTTCAGAGTGGTGGTACCGGCTGCTGTGGATAAGCCAGCCGCCGGAACGCAAATATTTTGAATTTGCTGAACGAGTGGCGCAAAAAACGGTAAATGTGTGGTGGTGCCATTCGGTGCGGCATTTGGCCAGCACTGAGCTGTTGCGGAATTAATCAATGGCGCATTAATATTAGCGAGATTGCCGGTGCTATACGGATTCGATAAAGCTGTAGCATTGGCAACATTCTGTGGAGTGAGCGCAGCAGATGTGGGATAGTGGAATCCGTAGAGATGAGGGTGATTGGTGAATAGTGAGTTTTGGTAGGGATATGTTGAGGGTGTGAAGAGTATTGGAGGTATTCCGGTTGGGAGCATAGGCGAAGGGTTTTGCTTGGTACCAGTCGTACTGGCTGCCAGGCAACATATCGAAGGTGATCGACTCGAAGATAAAGAGGCAACCTAGAATAAGAAATCTTTGAGTGGTTATAAAGCAAGGTGAGATTTTCTTCCAGTCAATTAGATTTTCATTGGGCATTGATCTGAATAAGCATCAATTTTGGA